TCCCAGCTGATTGGCTGGGTCTTCTTTTGTTGCCCTGCACAGGAGAACAGAGCTGGAAAGCAGGTTAGTGGGGTGGGGAGGGAAGGGGGATTTTGCAGTATCCTTCCCCTGCAACACCAACCAAGCCATGTCATGCCCACCAAGCCATGCCCACAGAACTGGTACTAGAAAAATTTGAATCCCACCACTGAGCAGAAGGTAAGTTGCAAACACTATGTGTGCGCAAAGCACGCACTCACACCGAACCAATAGGAAAACGTTTTGAAACCCACCACTGGAGAGGTCTTTTATGTGCAGCATCCTTCAGAGTTTTCTCTTGGTGGTTTGGCTTGGGTGAAACAGAAACCCAAATTCTGTATTGTCCTACAAATGTTGCTGGGAAAATCTCCTGCATAAAGGGACTGAAAAACTGTTGCCGGAATGGATGTCGACGAGACACGAACAATCTTTTAACTTTTTTTTTTTCTAGCTGGAATCCTGAAGTCTTGCTTACTTTACCTTTAGGCAGTTGCAAACTGGATCCTCAGGGGGTAAAAGGAATAGATACAGTATACCATAAGAATAAAATAACGGGAGAAAGGACTAGATGCTTAAGCCAGGGATCTGCAAGCATTAGAATTAAATTAAATTCACAAAACTTCCATGCTGGTTTTCCTTTTGAATATCATTCTCCTCAGAAATCCAATTTAAGAAGAAACATTTTATTTATTGCTGGTGTTGAAAAATGGTTTCTGGAAATCACTCCAGGATTTAAAGCCTATCCCCCCCTCGCCCCCCCCAAAAGGATATCCCAACATAAATCACCTTCTTGAATCTTCCACATAATTGGATGCTGTTCTGGGAACTTAAGACCAAAAAGTCTTTTGGGCATCTGCAAATATAAATTTTCTCTTGGGGGACCCTAGTTTCTCCTGGTTTCTGTATTACTTGGAGTGCATACTTGTAAACACCCTCAAACACTTTCATGTCCAAATGTTCTTGGTGGTGAGAAGATGAGATGTTGAGATATGATATGATTTTGCACTTGACTTATCATAAAGTGCTTAGCTAACTCTTGAAGATTGAAGATCCTTCGAGAAACTTCCACAAACTGGTTTGGCCAAAGCTTTCTTGCAATTATATCATGCCTTATTCTTCTGTATCTTAGATCGATATTTGGTGGTTCATACCTTGTGATCATCCAGGAAAAAATTATGTGAGATTAAGTCCACAAACAAGGAGGTTAAGTTGATATTGATGGCCTTTTCAGAATTATAGGCATTAATTGGCATCTAAATATAACTAACACTATCATTGATACAGGGAGAAGAGACTAGATGAACATGAATCACTATTCCACCTTTTGTGGTTTAAACATAAGAGCTGCTTCCATCTCATGAAAGCTACAATCTCCCTCCAGTTCTTATTTCTTTTATTTAATTTTGTTATTGTTAAATTTCCAGGTATGTGGAACTTTCCGTCTGCTTGTTTTGTAGCGATTTATCAAGTCTAGTACAAGAAACCCCAATTCATTTGTAAATTCAGTGACTAGATTTTGAAAACTCTTAAATGCATTTTAAAAATAGGTTTAAATTGCTTTATATAAATAGCCCAAAGATATAATTGTGAATGTAATTTCTATCCATCCTTTTCTTGTTAATATGCATTGAATAAACAGACGTAAAATCAGAAGTTTTCTGACAGTGAGAACAATTAATCAGTGGAATGATTTGCCTCCTGGAGTTGTGGGATGCTCCATCACTGGAGATTTTCAAACCAGACTGGACAACCAATTGTATGGAATAGTATAGTATGCTCAAGCAGGAGGCGGGTCAGACTAGAAGACCTCGAAGCTCCCATCTGTCTGTTATTCTGTTAATTATTGGAATGATTTGTCTCCTGGAGTTACGGGTGTTCCATTACTGGAGGTCTTCAAGAAGAGATTGGAGAACCATTTGTCTGGAATAATATAGGCAGGGGGTGGGATTCTACCAGTTCGCACCTATTTGCTAGAACCGGTTGTTAACATTCTAAGCAGTTTGGAGAACCGGTTGTTAGAAGAAATTACTGGGCTAATCCTGTAAGGAAGGCAGGAAGGAAACATTCTGGTGTTGCTGACCGAAACTGCCTCTCCATTAACCCTTATTCCATTCTTGGCAGGACTAGACTTCCTGTCTCAGGAACGTCTCTGGAGTTTTTCCCCCCTCCTTTGCTAGTACTTTGCTTGTGTGGAGGGACCATTCAAAGTTACAATGGCACTGAAAAAAGTGACTTGTGACCATTTTTCACACTTACGACTGTTGCAGCATCCTCACAGTCATGAGAGGCCAGGTGAGGAGATGCGTGCCTTGATGTGAGTGATATTGAGTTGGCCACGCCCAGCCAATAACATGACCGCCAAGCCACGCCCACCCAGTTACATGACCACCAAGCCACGCCTACCACCTAAGCCACGCCCACAGAACCGGTTGTTAAAAAATTTGAATCCCACCCCTGAATATAGGGCAATGGTGGCTAACCTTTTTCGGCTTCCAGGCTGATAATTGCGCGTGCACTCACTTGCGTGCACTAACATGCCAGCACCCAGAAGGCAATGCATGCTGCCCCCCGCCCCCTGCGCATGCACGCATGACCCCCCTCATGCGCCACCGTCTGCATGTGCATTTTCCCCCTCGTGCAATTCCCTGCATATGCACAGGCATCCTCCGTGCAACCCCCTCTATCATACTTCTATGGGAACAATTATAAGCTTTCCATAATTAATTCCTCCCCCTTCACTTATATTTTATAAAACATTAACTAATTAAAATGTTCCCGTTCCTTCCTAATTCAATTTTCTCATTTATTTTATTTCACTTATTTTATTCACAAACATTTCACTAAATTACACTAACTATTTAATCCCTCATTTTAATCATACGTTGTTTCCAATTTTCTAAAGTTATTTCTATTACTAATATAACAATACAATCTTATGTACCTTTACAGAATCCTTTTTCAGTTAAATTTTCACCCATTATCTCTAAATAGGTCCTGTTTCTCTATATCTTGTTCCGGTCCTTTGTAACTTCTTTTCCTTTCCTTCTTCCCTCTCTTCTTCTCTCTCCCCTTTTTATCCCCTTGTCTCTCTACCTCTATTTCTCTCTTCAGTATTCCCCTCTTCTGTTGCTTTCCAATATTATACTTATTTTTCGAATTATTTTTCTTTTCTTTGGTTGTTTTTTTAAGTCTTAAATTCTCCATTCTCTTTCCCCCCTTTCCTTTTTCTTCCCCACATAAAATTGCTTGTTCATTAAAGATGGCTTCTTCTTTGTCCCAGTCTTCTTGTTTTGCAGTCTTTTCTTGTTGTTTCTCAGTTCCAAATCTCCATTTCTAAGAATTGAAAAACGAAGCCAAAAGAA